TGTAGCTTTACCTACTGGAAAACTTTTAACAAAAGGCAAATGGGTTTTTGATATAAAGCGTAAAAGCGACGGTTCAATTGAATGATATAAGGCACGTTATGTGGCTAGGGAATTAGTCAAATTTATGTACAAAATTATGACAGTTATTCGCTCACTATTTGCCATTGCAGCACAACAGGATTTAAAAGTGCGACAATTTTTTGATTTCTACTTTAGAGGATGAGTTTTTCATTGAGCAACCTTATGCTTTGAGTCTGGTGAACGTATTGTATGCAAGCTCAATAAATGTATTTATGGTTTAAAACAAGCGAGTCGAGCTTGGAATTAGTTTCTAACAAAAATTTTGTTAGAACTTGGTTACTTAAGAAGCTCTGTAGATACCTATTTTTTCATCATCCTAGGAAATTGAGTTTCAGTGCTGTGTATCATGATGGCATGATAGTTTTTGATTTTTACAAGATTTCAGTACAGATCTGATTGCCAATCTTGGTAAGCGGATTCGTATTGAAGATTAGGGCGTTCCTGAATGGTTCTTGGAAATAAAAACTCACGTTGGTGAACAACGTATAAAACTTTCTCAAGAAAGATACGTCAAAAATTTAACCGAAAAATCTATTATGCAAAATTGCAAGTCGGTTTATGAACCTGTTGTTACATCTAAAAACGCAACTGATGAAAAAAGTCTAACAGAACGTTCCCTTTTTCAGCAGTCACTTGGAGCGTTATTGTATTTAGCTGTAACAACTAGGCCGGATATTGCTTTGGCAGTAAGCTTACTCTCTCAAGCCTGCAAAAGTCCAACAGTGCAAAATTTTAGTGCAGCAAAAAGAGTACTACGCTATTTAAAGGTCACGAATTATTTCCTCACTTATTCACATGATAAAAGTCTAGGTATTTTTGCGTACAGTGATGCCAATTGGGCAAGCGACGTGAAGACCAGAAAATCTGTATCTGGCATGGTTGTTAAATTAAGTGAGTCTGAATCACCGGTTTTTTTTTGCGAGCTGCTAAACAACTTTCGGTATCATTATCTACACTTGAATCGGAGTACAAGGCTCTATCGGCCTTGGCTCAGGAAGTTTTGTTCCTGAAGCATGTATTTGAGAGCATTAACAATAAAACTACTCTCCCTATTTTGTTAAGTGACAACCAGGGAGCAATCTGCGTAGCTCATAAAACAGCTTCAAGATCGAGAGCCAAACATATCGATATTAAAGAAACTTTGTTCGAGAACAAACTCGCCCTGGTAAGATGACGTTAAAATATCTTCCTGCTACAATTATGGTTGCGGATGTTCTGACAAAAAGACTTCAACGTATTCGTTTAGCGCAGATATTCAAGCTTCTTGTTGGGAGTGCCTTTTGATGGGGAGTGTTGAAATATTCGTCTGTGATTGGTCATTTTCAGACATAATTGCTTAGAACCAAAAAAATTCTTAACGAAATTTTTATTGTTTATTCGAGAAAGGAGTGAAACAATATTGATTTATGACTTTCAACTTTTTGAATGACACCAAAACGATGCGGTTGAACAAAAGTTGTTGATTTTGACTTAAACCACCTTAATGGAAAATAAATGACAAGAATTTTTTTTTATTTTTAAGCATCCAGACGTACTATTATAAGACTACAGGTTAGGGAGTCAACTACAATTACATCTCACAAAAACGCCTACGAACAGCCCGTTTGTCTTGCGTTAAGCAATCTTGTTGCTTCTTATCTGCCTCGGCTTCTGAGTCGGCAGCAGCTCCTAATTTCAAATTCAATTGGGAAATTTCGTTACTAGAGTGGGTTCAGTCACTTTTTTTGGAATTCTTTTCTGGAGCTACTTTATCTTGCTGAATTAAAATGGATTTTTTAAAAGCCCTTTTCATAACTCATCATGGAGCTCAAAACCGGGAACTTTGCTTTAGGTAGCTTTCGTTTTTACTGCTGAGGCTAAAGAACAGATAAAAGTAAGAACTTCCATGCAAAAATTTTGCCAAGCCAAATTTATTTTTGGAGGTAAAACCCGTAAAGTGTATCCAGCTTGTCAATAACTTTCAAATTGTTTTCCAGATCAGTTTTTTTTGAAGTAGCATTTCTTAGCGACAAGATTCGCCATTGGGGGAGCCTAAATTACTAATTCATCCTCGAAATTGACTTCTATAATTTGACATAATTTCTGAAGTTGACATATGATGATTTTGTACTCCGTATTTGTGGTTGGTTCTAAAAAACTTAGCTTACAATTTCCGCCTTTTTTGTTTAGGCTCATGTCATTTTTTTTTTCATTTTTAGTATGTTTTTCGGTCTTGGAACCTTATCATGTAGTCCACCGCTGGGTTGTTATTATCTCAACACCAAACAATTATTTTGGATTCAAGTATCGTTACTAGCGTCTGTAATGTTTCAGCAAACAGGAGTGGAGTCTCGGGGTCATTTTCTTACGTTCCGTCCTCCGAATTTGTGATGAAATTTTTGTATGGTACTTAAATTGGTTTTCTGTAAAGGCGTGGTTCAAACTGAACTCTCTAATGGAGGAATAAATTGCATTACAAAAATCTGATGTGTAAAAACTGTGCACTTCAGACTGTAATTACGTTCTCACAAACTTCAAAAGGAGACGGAGTAATTTTTTCAACTCTTTGTTCAGTACCACAACCCAAATGAAAATTCCTAAAACTTTTTGTTGCTTCGTGAGAATTTTGCTTCGAGCCTATTTAGACGCTGATGACAATGGAGGCAAGTCTCTACCCATTTTATGAGGCCAATCTATTTTGCTTCAAAAAGAATGTTCTTAATGGGTCAAAAATTTTACCTTGTCCTATAAGGCTCAGGAACTTAATGAGCGATTTTTAAAAAAATTGAGCCCTGTTTGCCCCAATTGATTCACTATTAATTCTTTAATACCTGGAGAACAAACTTTGTACGGACCGTCCCGACTCATTTGGAAAAAACGCTGAATGCTTTGTACAACCCGAAATCAGTTTAAAAAAGCTATCAAAATTTTTAAGCTAGGCGACTTATAATAGCTTTTTATGGTTGCTTAGATACTATTTGATCATAGTTAAGAGCCAAAAAAGGTGCAATCTTTTCATCCAAAACGGCAAGTTGTATTCCTCTCTTTGTTTTTTCTCGTCTTGAAAACGTACCTCCTAGCTCATTACACTGCTTGTATATCTGGCAAGGGCTTGACCTCTGGGGAGGGGGTTTAGGCAGTGAAACAACACTAGCTCTCAATTTTTGTTGATTACAACGCTCATAAGTGTCGCTTGCTTATGGCTAATTCTTCGGAATTGTTCTAGGAAAAACGAGAAAAAGTCACAAAACCAGCCAAAAATTAACATTTTATAAATTAAAAATTTATACTTAGTTCTACCCAAAAACTTTCCACAAAGGGAACGCGGAAATCTCTGGGTTCTCATTTGACCACTGAAATTTTTGAGCTGTCTGTTGTTACATATATAATTAACGTTAAGTCCTTGCCGATTGAAGAATTTTTGATAGATTAACATTAACACACAGAGGACATCAAAACAATAAAATCTTCTTTTTGGCTCGATAAAAAATATCGCTAAGAGGTATTTTCGCACAAACAAAATACGAAGGCCAAGTGAAGCTCTGCGTTACTTGCGATACCAAAATTGAAAAACAAACGGAAAGAAAAACCAAAAGTCGAAAAAAAATCTTCAACAAAATCTTTTTTTTTCGGCGAACGAAAGATTGCCTTTCTAGATGTCACCGGGATTAAGGACCCAAAAAAGCGTAGTCCATTAAAAGTCTCAAATATTAACTGATACACGAAATGCTCTACACTTTCGATTTTGCGCTTCAATCCAAATTAGAGAAATATGAAAAAAGGCACAACGAATCGAGTTTTCAGAAGCACTACGTTTCGTAATATTTTTAGGCCTTAAAAAAATACAAACTGACGTTTAGTTAACCAGTACTCAAAATTATAGAATGCTAAGGTTGCTCCCAGGGTTTTTATTGAAACCGTTAAAGAAATTTCCAACAAAAGCTAGGGAAACTACGAGCGGGACTGCCAATTTTTCTGACGGCATTTTAAAGCCATTCTTGTTGGAACTCAAATACTTGCTCACAACCGGAATACACTGAACTGTTTTCGAATTTGAATTTTTGGCTTTATCTCCTTCTCGTTCGCTTTTTGAGAAAATTCTTCGGTCTTAAACACTAAACCCAAGCATATAAATTTACTAATCATATCAAATTTACTGTCCTTCTCTCATTTTTTCCCCAATTTTAACCGGGTATTGCAATATAATCACTGAATCTGAAAAAAAAATTTTTGCTCAAACTACGTTGGAATGCAGAAAGATTCCTGCTTTTTGTTCAGCACACACACATTCTTCTTCTGGTCAAACTAAAAAAAATAATTTTGAAGAATATATCAAAAAACTTTTTTTGCTAATTCAAAACTTGATAATCTCAATTGCTAGATCAACCTCCTTTAAATCAACTAGAGTTATCTTTTGTGAAAAAACTTTTTTTTGACCAATCACAAAGGTTTGAATTACTACCAATCTTGATTTCAATTCATCACTTCCTGCTGTTGGGCATCGGAACAAGTAAGTTTTTAAAAAGCAAAAACTTTGAGGGAATAGCTTTTTTTCTGTAAATCACCCAAGTTTGTTGATTCAATCAATTCTTGAATCCGATCACATCTCAGGAAGTAACATCACCGGCAATGCCCGAAACAAACGTGTTGCCCAACGCAATATAATCTAATCAATCGCTCCTAGCAGTCACTACAGTCCCCTCTGACACAAGTTCAGATCTCGTAGTCCCATGGACCTAGTATATACTGGTATTGTTGCTAGACTTAGAGTCAAGAAAGAGCAACTGTTTGCTTAATTAAATTTATTCTTTCTGGCTGAAGCTATAAATAGTTTCAGTCTTACAAGTTATTGTATTAAGTATTTTATTGTAAGTATTTTACAGTGATAGTTATCAAAAATATAATTGGATATAATAAATACTTGTTTTGAACTGTTTCCAATTTAATAAGCATAAGCCATCCAAATGTGAACAGATAAAGTAACGAGCGTCGTTCGTGTCATCACTTAATGCTCTATTTTTCGAGAAAATGTTTCTCTCGTAGACACAAAATTTAAGTCGTTGTCACTAAATTTTCTGTTCATTTCGAATACAATTAACTTTTAGGGAACTCAGAGAAGCTCTTGAAAACAATTACTACAGAAATAGTCTGAAAGAGGCAAACAGGTTGATGTCAATTCGGATAAAAAACGAATGGCGTGGCGTTTTAGATTGGCAGTCAACAACCAAATAAGGATTGTCTTGTTGTTAACTGCCAATCTGAAACGCCACGCCAAATGTTTAGGTTTTAGTTATCAGCAGTACAGTCCACCCCTCTTTGATTTCAAAATCAAACCTTTTTTGTGATGAATCTGACACCAGGTTTAAATGACTGAATATGAAAAATCCAACTCCTGGGCTCAGGCTACAAAAGAGTATCCCATACTGACTGTTCAAAAAACGTTCAACCTGAAAGTATTCTCATTATGTCAACAAGTCACAATAATTCTCAAAAAAAGGCATTAGATTTTTTTTCTCTTTTTTGTGCTGTTGTCAGATGTATGACCATTTTTGTTCTTCCTATTTATATATCTCTACCTTTTTTAGTATACTAAAGATGTTTTTTTTTGTCTTTGAAAGCTAATAACCTCTCAATTTTTTGTTACTTTGTTATTTTTAGTACATTTATTATTTCTTGGGCAACTTTACTCAGTGAAGTTAGCTGGGTCACGCTTCCGCCTTCCATATCTGCAAACGCAATATTTCCTTTCACTATCAGTGACCTTGACTTTAGAACTTTCTGAAACTTCTCATCATAAACTAATAGGCAGCTTGGACTTGATTTTATCGAATTTTGAAATGCCTTAGCTTGGTATTGGTTCTACCGTTCGAACCTTTTCCTATCCTTTTTATTGTAGTTTTTTTTGTTTAAAAACTGTGTGCTAATCAACGTTTTTTTTTTCAAAAACCTTCCTCAGTTCTTGGTTTTTTCAAAACAGTGTAACTGATCATTATAAGTTCGCTTTTTAAATTCACTGCTTGTAATACAAAAGTCTTCAACTTACTACTCAACCTTGGTTTGGGTTCATAACTTCCTTCTTTCATTCATTGGAATGAAAAAAAAATTGACAAAGCAAAATGTTTAAATGAGTAATTTTGTAGAGTAAGTTGGCTTATTCAGTCTTTTTTGTGATAACGACACCGTGATAAAAATTCCTCCAATTTGCAATTTTTTTTCTGCCTATTTCAGTCTCAAACAAAACAAAATCGATGGTTATTTGAATGTGTTCCATAAAGCTGTTAAGTGTTCTATCCTTCAAGAAGCAAAAAGTTTTTTTTTTAGATTGAGCAAGTTAGTTTAATTCTCTGTGATGAACCTCGTGCTAATGCTTATTTTGTCGATGACTTAAATTTTATTGTGGAACAAAAGACATACTGGAAAACTCATTTTGATTTGAAATTGTCCTTAAGAACCATTTATTCTTCTGATGTATGCAAGAAGCTCACTTATCAGAACAATGTTTATCGAAGTTATAACGAACATCATTTTGGGCTGCTTCCAACAGTCGTCTCCAAAATTTGGAAACCAATTAAAATTGGTTTCTCTGTGTTTCTCTGCGCTTAACATTTTCCCCACCGATGACTAAAAAAATTGAGATTAACACGTGCAACCACTAAAATTCTACGGGGAGGGTTCTCATGCTTGAAGGACCGAAGGCTTGAAAAGTTTCAACCAATCAAAATCGTTAAGCATTTCTATTGGCTGAATGCCTTTCTCACAAAATCGAGGTCAATATTAACAGAAAATGTATTACATCAGTGGAAAATAATCTAAAATATTACAAATTGCGGGTTACAACCGCATTACTATTCAGATAATCATCAAGATTAATGAGTTCAAAATAATAAGAATTTTTTAGTCTTGAAAACTTATCTACTTATTATCTAATCGGTCAATAATAACACTAATGGCCTGGATTTATTTTCTTACTTTGAGATTTTTGTGATTTATTTTGAGATTTTGAATACTCAATTTTGATTGGCTGAAGGCAAGCTAAAATTAATTTGAAGCATTCGGTCCTTCAAGCATGAGGGACGCCACCAAATTCTACGTTCTAAATTTTAAAGTGAGCCTTAAAAAATTGTAGCAAATTGTGTGAACTGGGCCTTAAAATTTGCCCAACTAAGTGATCACAAATTTCATAGACAAAAAGAATTAATTTATATTACAAAAATTATGATTTTTCTATGTTAAGTGTGCTTTTTCTGCCAAAGCTAGCTTGTGTTTTTTTTTTTGCATTTTGTCTTTTTGCAACTACCTGGGTTGGCCTACATACGACAAAAAAGCTTATCATACAATTCCATGCATGGGATTTATGGAAAAAATGTTTAAGATACGAGTCCCGTTTACAAAAGTTGTATGATAAGCATTTATTCAGAAATCCATCCACAAAAGTTTTTACTTAAGATTAACTGAGCTTACATCCTGTTTCATTTGAACAAAATGGTCAACAAATTAATTTTTTTTTCCAAAAAAAAAAGCTTATCATACGCTTTCCATTCATGAAAATTGTATGATAGATTAACCTTTTTTTATACAAAAGTTTCAAATCTGAGACATTTTTTAGCTCTCATTGTAATCATTTTTATGCAGTATATCAAATTATGGCTTATAGCGTAATCAATACACATTTTTATACATTAATTTATTAAAAGAAAAACATAATCAAAACATTTTTTTGTAAAAAAAGGCTGATTTCCTGTTTAGCTTTGAAATCAGAAAAGGTAAGATGTTTCACTATCAAATTTTTTCATTTTCCCTTCTAGTGCAAATAAGTTTGACAACGTGGGTGTTTTGTTAGTATTTAGGTCATAGAGTACATCAAGAAAATTTTTATTTTTGATTTGAAATCTAAATTTGTTGCATCAACTTCAATTACATAGTTTCCCGATTGAAATTGTCTATCTAACAACTGTACGCAAAATTTCGTCGCCAAAACGTATTAGTTGAATCTGAAACCATAAAAGTCATGTGATAAATGCGGTACTTCCTTTGTCGTTTTTTTTGCGGCCCTTCCAGCAAAATATGTGCTCTAAAATGAGCTAAATTTTGTTAGTTGCTCCTTCTATTTTTCCACCTATAACTAATAATTCAAGCAACTTTCAGCGAATTATTTTTTGATTCAAAAAAGAAAAGAAAAATATCGATACCAAAGAAAAATATCGCTCTATCAAAACTAATAAAAATTGAAAAAGTACTACAACCTAGTTTAAATGGAAAATAGTACTAAGCGGTCAGGTCAGTTCATGTGTGAAGAGTTAGCCCAACAAAGCGAGTCAAGTGTGATCATGTCGGTGTCATCATCTTCTCCTGACAATGAAGTCAATTTTATCGACATTGAACAAAGCCAAGAATTGGAATCTAAAACCCAAAAAGATATTCCAGCCAAACCACAATGCACAGAATGCAATGGAAACGAAGCCGGCGTCACAAGTGCCGAAAGATGCAAAAAAGACCACGAGTCAGAACACAGCGGTGAAGAGCGATCGAAAAGACATAATTACTCGTCGGGTGGCTTAATGACGCGAGAAGAAGGCGTACACATGATGGAGGAAACCGCAGAAACTGAGAATGTACCAGGTTTCTTATTGTTCAGGATTGGCAAAGTCGGGATCTTTGTTATACTCGCCCTTTGCTTGTACATAGGTCTGCTTGCGTCTCTATTTTACGCTTTCGGCCCATTTGCAGATGAAGACAGCAGCAACACAGAATCTCGAAAATGAAACTAATGTGCTTATAGTGTTCAATAAGCCGACGTTTCAATTATGCGATAAAATTTGTACATAAAAGCCTCAAAAGAGTTGCATTTTATCCTATTGATGGCGCTTATCCTATTTAACTTTTTGATAGAACATTAGAATTAAATTTAGTGCAAAATTTTTTCAATAGTTAAGGAAAAAATTTCAAAATTTGAACTGCGAAGACTTAAATCAGAAGAAAAAGACAAGGATAGCCTAAAACGTTACGATCCTATTCATTAAAAAAACTACAAAAAATGTCTTTTCCTTTTTTTTCTTAATAAGTGTCGTTTTCTTGGTCTTGGTGTGATGAGGTAACAATAAAACGTGGAGGAAATTAGAGAGTTGCACAAAATCAGTTAATTGACATCAAAAAACATACGTCTGCTTTTTGCTCATCAGATTGAGAATCAGATGTTCTCAAAACGGAAGCGTTTTTTTCTCAAACTCGATTTGAAGTTCAGTAGCTCAAAGCTAAATACCTTTCTCTAGTTATTTTAATTAAAATCGGCCGTACAATGTCGCCGAAGGCACATTTAGTTGAAGTTTCCTTTGTTTCAGCGGTTATACGTTTGTACCATTGTGTAGGAAGTTTGAAGGCAGTTTAATGGTGTTTTCTTGAAGGAAGTTTCTTGACAGTTCCAGAGCTTAGCTTACATTAACTTATCGGATTTGGCCCCTAATCCTAATTATCAAAACTTCACTTAGTTCCGTGAGAAGACGAAGAGAGATTATTCTGCTTGAATCAAACTGCTTTTTTGACGGTCAACCTTTATCAACGCTTAATTAAAAAAAATGAAAACACGGTTGAAATGATTGTAAATTAAATAAATATAAAGATTTCTCAAACACGTGCCAAACCGCATTCGTTATTTTCTATGAACTGCCATTAGGCCACTCGGCCAACTAGTCTTGTATGTAGTTAATCTAAGCCCAGTCAGATTCAAGATGGTTCATTGGCCTTCATTCTCTGACAAATCACGACTGAAAGGGCGTTGAAATGATATATCATTCGAGCTTTTCCGAAGCTTAATACAGGTATCTGGAACGAGAAAAAAAAAATAAAACACTTCCGGTACAAAGTTTTTTGCCATTTTCAGTGGTCGGAACAAAACAAGCTACAGCAACAATATCAGCCATTTTTGACGATTTTTGGTGATTGAAAGATCTACTGACTGAAATGTTTTTTTATTGAAATTCAAAATCTGAAAAATTGAGTGAATTATAGATTTGGAGTGTTTAAAACATTAGGGTGATTTTTTCCCACAAAAATCAAGTATCACAAATAAGTATTGGAGTGGTACACTGTTATTACTTTTTAAAAAGATTTTAACCGTGATTCGAACAACATTAGAACACTTACAAAAACATTTTTCAGGATTGATAAAACCCGTATAAATTTTTTTGACTTTTGATGTGGTTTTGAGCAAATCAAGAGAGCGAACAGGTTTATTTTTTTTTCAATCAAATCATTCAATAGAAACATAAGCGCGAAATTTAGGATTAAAAACGAAACAAAGTAAGGATAACCGATTGCTGTGCAATTGACCCATAATAAATCGACCGTAAGAAATCGTGTAAAAAAAATAAGAAAAGCATCAAAAACATTGTACAATGTTCAAATACAATTTGTTAACTTTTGTTGCTTAATTTCTCAATAGATAAAAGTAGACTCAATTGGTACGTGCCCGCACTGGAGTTCCATGGATAATAATCGATTATATTGTCATTATAGTCAGTATCTATAAAATTACAGAAAAAATTGATTATAATCCGTCAAAAATGGATTATAATCTATTATTTTTTATATCAATATAAACCATAACAATCGATTATAATCGATTATAATCGATTATAATCCATTAAAAATGGATTATTTTTCTTATATTTTTTATGCCAATATAATCCCTTCTAATCGCTTATAATCAATTATAATGGATTTTTCGAGAGGTTAGTCATGAAATTTACAAATTTTTTTTTAAAGTTATCGCATTTCCTGTTTAGTACAGTTGCTACGTATTAGGTTCCATAAAATTTTACGTTTCACTTTTCAATTTTTATAATTTTTGTCTTATATACCCCGTTTACCCCCTCCTGAAACCCCCTTTTAAACCCGCCCCCTCCCCTGTTTACTCCCCCCCCCCCCCCCTGTTTACTCCCCCCCCCCCCCCCGTTTTCCTCCCTGTTTACACCCCCCTCACCTCCCTGCCAGTTTACCACACCACGATTCGCCCCCAGCCCCCCCCCCCCCCACCATTACCCCTCCTCAATTTACCCCCCCCCCCCCCCCCGCATCTTAGTTTAAACCCTCCCGTTTAGTGGGGAGGTTTGAAGGTTTGAGCAAATGCGGACGGATGGGGGCAAAGTGAGGGGGGTAATTCGAGTAGGTTTAGATTGCGAGTAGGCCGTGAGTAACGTAGAAATGTTGCAAATTTTGCAAAAGAATTTTGCAAAAAATTGTATAAATTATAATCCGTTATAATCACTTATAATGGATTTTAAATGGTTTAGAATCCATTTCAATGGATTTTAAATGTATTAAAATGTATTTAAAATCCATTGCAACATTTTATCCAGTAAAATTTGCAACAATAATGGATTATAATGACAACATTTTAGACAACAATGTTCCATTATAATCGATTATGCTCCATGGAACTCCGGTGCGGGTTAGCATTAAAAACTAGCGTAGAAGACCTACGACACTTTTGAAAAGCCAGCTGATTTAGTTTAGAAATTCGAACTGAAACTTTTCAATTTTTAAATCATTGGTGTAAAAACAAAAAAAACTGATGAAATTTTCTGCAACTTTTTCGTTAATCTGAAGAAAGACCAATAGGGATTTAATATGACACCACATAAAAAACCGTACAATCTTTCTGTGAGGTAGTCGAAATCTGGAAGAAAAACAACACTCTACGTCATAGTTTGTTTCCAACCCCATTTCAGATTGGTATGTTATAGACAAACTCTCGATTTTGTTATAGACAAACAATGCTTATGTATGTACTCCAGTATATAAAATTAATTAGAACTGATATGAAAAATTTAGTTGAGATTTCTGCATTAATATCAAAGGTATAAAAACTATGGATTCTCAAAAGATCAGAGGAAACAAAACTTAAGTATGAAGTTTCCAAGAACCAATTTTTTTCTCTGCTTTTGGATTGCACTGATAAAATATCCTGACTGACTGTACACTGTTGCCATAAAATTTTGATCTTCATAAAATATTTATAAAACTCAAGCAAAAGTTTATGAAATTTGCTTTAAAAATGTCACAGGATTCAACCGGAAGTCGGTGGTTAGAAGCGCTAATGATACCAGAGATTAGTTTATTAGTGTATATTTATGCAAGAGATTCTAGCTAGCAAACTTAGTCTGAAACTTAGTCCAGCATAATAGAGATATTTGAGATTTAACCTTTTTTATTTTTTTTGACCAACAATTTGGTCCGCGGTCAAAAATAATTCAATTTGAGTTAAATTTAAATATTTTGATTACCATTTTTGTCAACTTGGGTAAGCGGGCGAGATCTTTCAGAGAAATTTTGTTTTCCATAGGTGCAACTAAGGGGAAATTAGAAGGCTCGTTTATCAAGAAGTATTTTGGAGGCGCTTTTCTTTTCGCTTAATCATGGAGTTTTTTGGCAACATAATAGTCACAATCAGTCATAATTGATTCTATAATCTTATAATTTAAATTGCTCTTCATTATGACCATTAATGAAGACCATTAAACAGGTAAATTCGAGAGTATGTTGCTAATTGCGTTTTTTGATCTAATGAGAAAACTCTATCTAGTTAGAGTTTGTTGCCTCAAAAGCATGCTAAGACTCGCAGTAAATCAAATTGCGGCGTCGCAAATCAGATTTTCGTAAAACAGCAGCGTTTTTTCTCAAACTCGATTTGAAGTTCATTAGCTCAAAACGCAAAACCGTACTCTTGTTATAAAGCAGTTCATTGTTTCAGAAAGCACCTCTTATTCAAGTTTCCTTTGCTTCAACGTTTACACGATTGTACTATTTCATAAGAAGTTTGAAGGCAGTTTAATGGCCATTTGAGTCACCTACAGGTGTTTTATTGACAAGTTTCTTAACAGTTCCAGAGCTTAGTTTACATTAACTTATCGAATTCAGCCCCTAGTTATCAAAACTCCACTTAGTTCTGTGAGAGGACAAATGTTTGGCACAGATAGTTATTCCATTTATGTTCATTGTTTAACTGGCAATGTTTCCCAGTTTTCGTATGAAAGTTCACGCAAAAAATCAAAAGATGCCAAAAATTTATATGGCAAAAAATGTCGAAAAATTTTGGAATTGATTTTACAAGAATGTGGATTACATAATTGTTCATGGATGGGTTTGACTGTACGAAACAAAAAAGAAAGCGGGAAAATATTTCTGAATATGAATTTACCTGTTAAAACGTATATCAGTTGCTTCTCCAAAAACAAGGTTATGAATGTTTTATTGGAAGCGAAATTCTTTTTTGAAGACCCTTTTCAAATCACGGACAAACTGTCCATATTTTACTATTACCTGCAGATCCGTGAGAATGTCCAGACCCTGAAAAAACTTGCAGATTCTGACCAAGTTTTGGTTCTGTTTTGCCTCATTTGCTCAATTGAGTTGGGTCCGCTGGACGAATATTCTCTGGATCACTATCTGGACCTTGACCTTTCGCTGTATCTGCCAACGTGGATGCTAGAATTACATTCTAAGGCATTCATTCTAAAGAGCATCCAACAAGTACAGTCAGATTCTTGGGGACCAATTAGCAACAGGTACTTAGAAAAATTCCACGTTTTGCCAAAAAAGTTTTAGTCAAATTGTTTTAGTTTTTATGAGTCAAAAAATTGTTGTATAAGTCAAAAAACATTTTCATAAAAACGTTCGAGTGAGTCGAAAAAATTTTATATTTAGGATAACAACGAACTGACATAGCGTTTAAACTAGATTGACAAAAGGCTGAAATCTGCGAACATTTATTTAGTTTTTTTAAACTTTTTGTGTTTTTTTTTAAAAGATGACAAACGCAAAAATTAGTCAAATAATAATACACTTGCTCTCACAAATGCTATTAGACTAGGATGAAAATTTCTCGAGATACATTTGATTGTGAAATTGTTACAACAAATAAGCAAAGCCTCTAACTTGGTCTTTCTCACATTGGGCCATTACTTAACTTTATGTTTCAGCAGATTTAGGCTCATGAAGAGGTTCATCACCGAATCGCATAGAGTTCCCGAGTTATGTACTCATTTCGTACAGGTGAAAGAAGCCCTTAAAACCGTCTCGGAACGAAGTCAAACATTACTTGGGCTAACTTCACAATACATCAGCATTTACAATTTAGATCAAAACGATCAGTTGAACCTACGGAAAAGTTACCGGTTGGACAAACTTTCAAAGTTGAAATTCAAAAAGCGAAAACTGCTCATTGAAATAGCACACATGCCAAAAAAGTACAAACACCCCATTGAATTCGAATTCGAGTCGGAACTTGAATGTGAACGATTTTTTGATCTCTGCTGTCAAACATGCAATTACCACATGTTCGCAAGAGATATCGCTACAACACTGCGACGAGGAGCTTACGAGGATCCGAATGTTCCGAGGGAACTTCCGACGACCAAGCGAAGTTACAGAGAGTCGCTGATAAGCGGCGACGAATACGATGACAATTATGAGTTGCGAGGGGTGAAAGGTCTAGCCCAATGGCGAAGGTATTCCGAAGATTTAAAGAGCCAAGCCGCGTCATCAAATCAAGACTCCTCGACAATTGAAAATCTCGATTCTACGTTTACCTTCAGTGAAAACTCAAACAATATGGACGATAGCGTTTTCAGTGTCACATCTCAGAATAAAATATCAGAAGAAGATCTTTCAAAGTCGTTTTCAAACCAGGAATTTAAATGTTCGGAGTTAGCTGTAGATATACAACCGAGTAGCCGAGAAAAAAACTCAGAAACTGAGCGCAGAAGTCGGTCAAATTCTCTTACTTCCGTTATAACACAAGAGCAAGAGGAAAAAGACTCAGGTTTTAATACTACACAAACTTTTGACGTTCCATTTGCAATTTTGTAAGCTTTTGTTTCCAGATTCTTATATCTTTCATATTAAGTTCAACTTGTTGTATAGTACATATTTAAAAAGTTTAAAGGTAAGAACGTAAAAAATAATTCGGAACGAATGTATGCTACATAGGATTACTCTACTACAGATAGAAAAAATGGCAAAAAACGGCGTAATTACAACAAAATTTACAATAAAAAATTATAATAAAAAAAGCTGATTTGAGCCGATGTTTCGACTTTTTGTATCTGACTTATCAATTTTTGTATCAATTTATGCAAAGAAGTTACAAATGACAAAAAATTGATCAAAAACCTAAAATCATTTAATAATCTTTCTGAAATAAATTGGGGTTGAAAGACTGGATACATTTTGTCCAACCTAATCGGCTGCTGAAAATAGTCAAATTAATTTTTGAAAATAAGGCAATGGTTTTTTGTTTTTCATGTAAGCTTGGACGGCAAATCAACCTGAATATGCTTGAATATGATACTAAAATCGATGCCGTACGAACGTTTTTTAAGGTACATAGTTTTTTTGCGAAGAAAAACTTCTTTTTAGAGGATAGATTGAGGTGGATTGATGGGCATGGACGCTCTTTCACCCAAATTGCGTACTTCCTTTATTTTTAGTTTGGACAGGTGAGTGCGCCAAAAATCGCCTTTATTTCCAAAAAAAAACTAATCATATTTTGTTCATTACTCATGTTTTGGGTGAAAAATTTGCTAACACTGCGAGAAAAAGAATTTTTTCAGCCAAATCGCACATTTGCGCTTTGCTCTTGGAAAGGTCTGTCGCTGACACTTTTACGAGAGTAGCGTGAATATAACCCATATTTGCACATCTGATTTAAAAGTAAGCCCGATAATTCGTCGTACTTTCTGTACGTGGCGCTGTTGCATGACTTTCAAACAACAATACTGCCTCACCCGCAAACAGTTATTTTGAAAATACTTGCGGTGAAAAAACACATAGAGATGAACACAAAATCAACAATCTTTTGGCTCTTTTTTCCCCAGCTGCAAACTGTTACTAGTAAAATTACTGTTGGCATCGACCGATTGTTATGAAAATTGACATGTGGACTGATTAGTAACATTGATGCTTGTAAGTGGTTGGGGAGAAAAGAAAACATTTTCTTTCTATCGCTGATTCAATGATCTCCTTTTGATCTCGCTGATTTGCTGAAAAAAAAGTTTTTAATTCAAAATTGAATAAGGGCCATAACTAAATAAACTTGTTTTTGGGCATAATGAACCATTTAGTGGCTTTTTACTTGCTGAAAAATCTGCTGATTGAACTACTCAAAATCTGCTGCTCATAGCTCTTCTGCTACGGAACTACGAAAACAATTTTCTGAACAAATTAATGGTTAATTTTTTTTTATTGTGACGGAGTTTGTAAATGCACAATCGCCAGACTACGGAAACTCCGGTAACAGGTTAAAGTATCTCATCCAAAAATATCCAACCAAAAAAAGCTACTTACAAAATTCAGTGAAATAAAAAATGCTCAACCTGATCAGACGAGTTAATCAAAAATAGAAGCCCCGTACTTGTCTCCGAAGAAAGAATAAAAAGAAAAAATGGAAAAAAAAACTTTTTCGAAAAACAAACTGAAAAATTTAGAAATGTTTCACAGTAATACTTGTTGAGTTAATTTTTTTAATGCCAAGGAAGCGCTATATGATTCTTCTAAGACCTGGTTTTCTGCAGTTTATGGAAAAGTTTTTTAAAAAGATTCATTCACTCACCTTAATGGCGCAAAGCTTATCTGAAGTTCAAAAGATTCATTTTGGATTTTATCGACCGGGGTAACTTTTCTGAAAAGTTTTCAGAGCTGTTCGATTCACGACTAAAAAAGTCTTAAGATAATTCACTTAAATTATTCGAATTATTAAAGCTAATTTTGCGAGGAAAAAAATGATTAAACTCCCTGAAAGACTTACAATGATCATAAAAGAAAGTAAACTTCAACCGAAGACAAAGCTATTCCCATTTTTAATAGTTGAAGCAAAAAAAAATTTTTTTGTAGTCCGTCTAAGCTTCCAAGTGGTTGAAAAGTAAGAACGTAAAATTTGATTCGGAACGAATGTATGCTGCATAGGATTACCCTACCTCAGATGGAAAAAACGGCGTAATTACAACAAAATTTAAAATAAAATTTATAATAAAAATTGAGGTTGTGAGTCAATGTTTTCGTTATGTTTTTGTATCTTACTTCAAACAATCAATTTATGCAACATTTAATGCAAAGAAAATACACATCACAAAAAATTGATCAAAAACCTAAAATCTTTTAATAATCTTTCTGAAATAAATTGGGTTGAATGATTGGATACATTATGTCCATTCATATCAGCTGCTAAAAATAGTCATATTAATTGATACACTGATGCAATAGTTTTTTTTCATGTATACTTGGAAGGCAAATCAACCTGAAAAGGTTTGAGTAAGATACTACAATTGATGCCCTACGAACGTTTGTGAAAAAAACTTCTTTTTAGAGGATAGGTTGAGGTGGATTGATGGACATGGACGCTCTTTCGTCCCCAATTCTTTCATCCAAAGGGCGTACTTTTTTACTTTTTAGCTTACATTCATTTTCGGCTGAATAGCCCCGAAAACGTTTTATAGTTCGCCCCAATTTTTAGTTTGGACAGGTGATTGCGCCAAAAACCGCCTTTATTTAAGAAAAAAACATTTTGTCCATTACTCATGCTTTGGGTAGAAAAATTTCTAACACTGCCAGAAAACGGAATTATTGAGTCACATTGCAAATTTGCACTCTTCCCTTGGAGAGGTCCGTCGCTGACATTTTTCGAGAGTAGCCCGAATATAATATGAGTCATCCCTGTTACCCATTTTGGCTCTTTTCCTTTTCCCCCCAGCTGCAAACTGTTACAAGTAAAATTACTGTTCGCACAAACGATTGTTATGAAAATTGACATGCAGAGTAGTTAGATTATGACAAACTTGTTTAGTCTGCATAATCAATCTTGTAAAACTACTGAGTGAACCATAAAATTGAAACTCATGTGTTGATGGCGAGAAAAATAAATATTTTTTTTGCCAACGCTGATTCAATAATCTCGCTAATTTGCTGAAAAAAAAAGTTTTTATTTCAAAATTGAATTAGTGCCAGAACTAAATAATCATGTTTTTGGGCATAATGAACCATTTAGTGGCTTTTTAATTGCTCAAAAATCTGCTGATTGAACTACTCAAAACTGCTGCTCATAGCTCTTTTGCTCCGGAATTACGAAAACAATTTTTTGAACAAAACAATGAATAGTTTTTTATCGTGATGGAGTTTAAAATGCACATTCGCAAGATTACGGTATTCCAGTCACAGGACAAAAAATCTCAATCAAAATTATCCAACCAAAAAAAGCGATTTTTAATGTTCTGTAAAATAAAAAATGCTCAACCTGATCAGACAAGAAAAATCGAAAATAGAAGCACTGTACTTGTTTCCAAAAAATAAATAAAAACAAAAAATGGAAAAAAAAATTTTAGAAAAACAAACTGAAAAATTTATAAATGTGTCACAGAATTGCTTGTTGAGTTACTTTTTTTAATGCCGAGGAAGCGCTTTATGATTCTCCTAGGACCAGGTTTTCTTCATTTTAAGGGAAAAATTTTAAAAGGCTTATTCGCGTAGCTTATCTAAAATTCAAAAGTTTCATATTGGATTTTATCGGCCGTGGTAAAAATTATTGGAAAACTTTGAGAGCTATTTAAGTCACGACTGGAAAAATTTTTATAGAAAATATTTCACTTATTTTTTTTCGAATGATTATACATGATTTTGAGTGGGATAAAAAATTAAACTCACCCAAAACTTTCCAATGGTCAGAACAAAAAGTAAAATTCAACCGAAGACAAAATTATTCCCCATTTTCAACAGCCGAAGCAAAAAGAAAACATTATTTTGTCCTTCTAAGCTTCCAAGTGAATGAAAACTGAAACAAACCAAAGTTCTCGCAAATTAAAAAAATCAGACAGCCTCGAAAACTAAACGCTCATTTCTATTAAAATTCTCAAAAATCAGACAACCTTCAATTTTCTCTATTTATTTGACAAAAAATTTTTGGAGTTCATGATGAGTGCTTGACATACTATAAACCCCCAAAGTGTTTTTAATCATTTAAAAACTCAGCCTCGAGAATTTTGAGTTTCTCAGTTCTTTGTCTTAGAGTTACGAACCGTGATAAAGGTTACTCAGAAAATTGCGGATCTAAATAAGGTGCTAGAAACAGAGGGAGGCAACACAATTTACGGACCTTCAACTTTTATCGTTGCGACCATTGAAAATGGGAAGGATCTTTGTATTCGAGTGTATTTTTTTCTTTTTGGTTTCCCCGCAAAAAGAGCTACCCCAATAACTATCGGATTGAGTTGAAAAATATATTATATTAAAGCCCTTTCAGTCGTGATTCGAAAAGTTTTAAAAATTTCCAAAATTTTTTCCCTGTGTTGAGAAAAACCGGTTTGAAATTTTTGATTTTTAGTCGAACATCGAGCAAATAAAGCAAGTTTACTTTATCTTATCTATGCTTAATTTAAGTCGTGAAAAATGATGTTATTTTTTGGAGTTTTTAGCTTCATCTTAGGAATCAAAAAATTAATTTTTTTGTTGTTTTTTTGTTTTTCTTATTATTTAACTTCAAAAATTGTTTTTCAATTGGCATATTTTACAAAAACTGTCAAAAATGCCGCTTTTTTATCACACTACACCAAAAAAACGACACTAGTTTAATTAAGTAATTTTGTTGTTGCTGAAATTTTTGCTGCTGAAAATAGTCATATTAATTGTTTACACTGATGCAATAGTTTTTTTTTCACGTATACTTGGAAGGCAAATCAACCTGAAAGGGTTTGAGTAAGATACTACAATTGAAACCGTACAAACGTTTGTGAAAAAACTTCTTTTTAGAGGATAGATTGATGTGGATTGATTGACATGGATGCTCTTTCGTCCCGAATTCTTTTCTCCAAAGAGCGTACTTTTTTTTAAT